CTCACAAGGTTGCTGAAAACCCACGACCGATTTTGCCCTTCTTGGGGCTCACCAGGTAGGCGCATTCCCCGAGTTTCCGTCAACCTTATGTTCTACTTTAACCTAAATTGCTCGGAATTCGCGAACTACACTCATTTGCACATTCAGTTGTAGAATATCATAACCATTTAAATCTGCCTCTTTTTGTGAGAGCGTACAAGCATTTTGGTAGTTTCCTTGGATGTTTGAAGATTTTACCGAGCTTCATCCAGAAGAAGGACAGCGCTCGGTCTGTTTTCTGACCGTCTGCAACATGAATTTGATCCCGCCGCAAGTTGTTATTTAGGGCAAGATAAAACACTTATGGCACATTTTTCGAAAAGGTTCATTTCCTGGGTCTGCACGATAACCGGCTTCCTATTTTAGCATAAAACGGGACTGGTCTTATTGATTTTCCATAATACCTGTTTTCTTGGAGCAGAGCCTGGATCGAATGGCATCAGTCCCGACTCTTCCACCGGCTGCTTTACCTTTGGCTTGAACGATGTATCCACACTGGTTGAACCGCTGCCACCCATCCCATCGTTCGCATCGGAACAGCTCTTTCGTACAATCACATGGATAGGCACCCTCCAGTCGGAACCCTACATGTTGGGGCCCAACATTCCACAACTTACCTGCAACCAGCTGGCAGCGCTGGCCACCAGACAATGGGAACTGTTGTTTACAATCAGTCTGCTACAATCGATTCAGAGACGGGCGAGTTCCACGGGCTTGCAACCGGTCAATGGTCATCAGTTACTGAGTAGAATTCAGAAGCTGTGGACCCACTTGATTACTTCAGCAAATCAGGGAGAGAAACCTTCGCCGGCGGAACAAAGTGAGTGAGGTTCTAATATGGAAACTTTCACGCAATTGGATCTTAGGATCTACTCAATCTGAACGTGGTTTACGTATCAAGTGATAATTTTGTACGCGATCACAATATGCCTCACAGTTATCTTTTAGAGGAGAAGTTGGAGTTATTACGATATTCTTTTTCGGAACACAGTACCTTAAGCGTCATGACCTTCTCCGAAGGAACACAAGAAGGGCAATTAGAAGCTTCCACTATAAGACGCCCCAGATAAAAGAAATGTTTCCATCACACAGGATTAAGTATCTTATGAGAAGCATTTGTGGAACAATAGGAAATGCTTTTGCCTGACAACTCTGTGTACATGTCGATTCCCCGGCTGTTCTAGATAAATTGCAGAGGAGCGGCGAAGTATGGCAGAATCGTGTTACTGATGTGCCCAATGAGGTGGTCCACCACTTTGAGTCTCACCGTTCCTTTCTGAGTCACGTCGATGAATCAACTGAAAGGAGGCCAGTGAAGTGCAATCACTTGTAAACAAATTTGGTTTTGCGGGAGACTCACCTGGAACACAGCTGGATCTCTCGTTTATGATGGTTTAAACAAACGAATGTGCTGCACAAGGCCGCCTAATGTTTCAGTTGGTACGCTGTTCGAGATATCGTGCTACACGGTATAGACGGAATACATTACGGTCGAAGAATTTTCAGCAACCTCGCGAGTAGTATATTAATCTGTACATGTATCGCGATATCTCGGATATCGTACCAACTGAAACATGAGGCGGCCTGACGCACCACACTCAGTTGCTTGCAAACATCACAAACGAGAGATTCAGCTGGGTTCCAGGTGAGTCTCTAGCAAAACCAATTTTCTTCTCTAATTTCGTGCAATTTGGTCTCAACTAGAACATAAGCTTGACGGAAGCTTGGGGCTGCACCGATCTGATGAGCCCCAAGAAGGAGAAAGTAGGTCGTGGGCTGTGAAACGAGGCTTGTAACAAAGCATTCAAAAATCAGATCGAGAGCATCTAGTGAAGTTAGCATGGAAAGTACTATTCCAATGACACGCGAGCAAATGATTACCATTCAGCTCAGACTGAAATACAGTCTCTATGGCGGGAAGGTAACGTGAACGTTTTCAAATATGACGTGAACTAGTTCTGTTCTAGAACGTGTTTGGAGGTATCAAATGCCAGTCTGAGAGTGGCATGTATCAGGTCTATTCATGCTGAGTTTAGTCAGAAACTGTGCTGTTATTACGGTGAAAGATACTTGTCGCTCAGCTAGAACACTGCAGAATCAAACCAAGTTATTTGACGAACGACCTGATGAAGTGTGGTGTTGAAGAGACAAGTCTAATCCATGTAATACTATCGAAGTTAGGTATTTAGAGATTGCCTCTCGGTCGAGTTTGAACAGTCGGCAATATAGATTCGATGAACCCTGCTTTCTGGATATCACATTTGAACGTACTGAAATCCACTCCACGATAGTTTCTTTATTGGAAGTTTTGATTTGGTAAATATTTTGAGCAAGAGAACGATTTGGGTTGATTATCAGTTTGGTTGGAGATCGAATCAACCCCACACTGACGGTGTCCTGGCAATGTGACGAACTGTTTTAAGCCAGTTATCAGGTTCGGTGAACGGATCAACATCCCACTAACCACCTGAGCTGCCACAGTATTTATACATACTGCAAAAAAGGACGATTCCCAGCATCCTTTTCGTTGTGGAGACTGCCTTTCCTTCAATAAGGGATTGTCTCTTGGGAAACGACCCGAAGGAAAACAAATTCGACTTCGAGTTACATTGTGATTTCTTCATGTTCACCAAGTCTTCTTCTAGGTGACACTGCCTTGAGTAAGTGTCGATACGGTCAAAAACTCGGACCTGAAGATAGCGACTAATCTACTAGTGTTTGACGCAGTCATCCGTGACCTTGACCTCATTTCACTTACCAAGTAGGCCGGAGTACACCGAGTGGTACACGTGTATGACAAGTCGAGATATTACGGGGGGGGGCGGACGTTTGTTACATGTCGTTCTGTGAAGTGACGGTCAGGTGTTTTATCGATCAGCGGAATACACCCATTTGCAAACAAATTTGGCTTTGTGAGGGACTCACCTGGAACCCAGCTGAATCTCTCGTTTATGTTATTCTACAACTGAATGTGCTGCACACAGGCTACCTCATGTTTCAGTTGGCACGATATTCGAGATATCGCGGTATATGTTCATAAAGGTAACTATCCGTATTTATTTGATTTCAGTTAGAACATAAGGTTGACGGAAACTCGGGGACTGCGCCTACCTGATGAGCCCCAAGAAGGGTGAAACCGGCCGTGAGCTGTCGAATAGTTTTCAGCAAACTTGTGGGTAGTTCCCTTCATGAAAACATGCTGTGATATCTCGAATATCCTACCAACTGAAACATGAGGCGGTCTGTGTGCAGCACATTCAGTTGTAGAACATCATAAACGAGTGGTTCAGTTAGGCCACCCATGAAAACCAAATTGATTTGCAAATGAGTGTAGTTCTCGAAAAGAGTAAACCACACTCCCACAGATTGTGCTTTCGAAACAACTTGAGGCAACTTTTTTGGGTTCGTTTTCCATTTAGTTCACGAATTCGTTTGCTTCCACGCAAGTTTCCAAACTGTCTGATTGGTGCTGTCAGAAAATTGCTATCTAGATGTCTACCATTCTGTTTTTTTCAGCCTCACTATCCCCTCGAGATCATTTACTACAACCATTGCTTTCGCAACTTGTGATGTTGAATCCATCCGACGCAGAATTCCACTGGTTGAAGATGCAGGCCTTGTTTGGGGGTTCCACTGGGCCAGATGCACACCAAGGCAGTTTGGATGAAGGTGAGTGCTTTAGTTAGGAGGCAGTTGCAAAATGTTGTCCCATTGAGCCGTGTGAGTGAAGTTGATGAGTCTGATGAGTGTGATTCGCAAATGAAGCTCGTGCTGAATCCCATCCAAGTTCCAAGTTCGGGATATTCTCCCAAAGAGTGTGCTCAAAGCCACCTCGTGCTTCAACTCGTGCAATATTCAGGTGATCAAAGTATGCATTCTTGATGTAACACACCGTTCATAAAGTTGTCAGAGACTGTTCGTCAACCCACCGCCGGTTTCACCCAACTTGGGGCCCATCAGGGAGGCGCAGTCCTCACCGAACACCGAGTGGTATACAGCTGGCGACTTCGCAACTTAATGTTTCGGTAACGGGAGGCTTATTTGATCTCAACTGAATCCCTAGTTTCTATTGTTGTTCATAAAATACATTTGCTTCATACTCGGAGAATAGTCTATCCGATGTACCATAAGATAGACGAAACCGAGGGTGGCCGATCTAAAAGCTTTAATCAAGCTTTTTATAGAAATACACTACAGTCGAAAGTATGACGCCATCTTTGTGGTATCAGTTTACTCCAAGAGAGCTTACTACACTAAACGATTTAGTGAGATTTTCACACTGTACTGTCGGAATAGACGGCTAATTCTCCTCGTTCTAGCGCAAAGATTCACAGGTGTTCCCATTCATATCCTCTCATCACTAGTTGACTAGAAAACTTCAGCGCGCGAAAGTCCTCATGATCTTCGGCCGGTGATAGCTTCGTCCGGCGTCAGTGGGCAGCAGTTTGGACGGCTTGCAGTGTGAGTCTGAGCATGGCGCAGGATTCTTATTGACTGGGAGCGTCCCTGTTCCCACCTATCTACAATCTTGCATTCTTCTAGATGCTCACAGGTTGCTCAAGCAAGGATGGTTCTGACGATGTCCTTATTGGCCAGGAAGTAACAAACTGTTTTTCTCCAGACAACTTTGTGAAGGACTTAGAATGGGTGCCTTCGACAACGTCCAGGCCACCTGGCTTAAATCGGCCGGTGATATTCCGCCAAACGGTTTCAAATCATTACATGAGCCTACAATTTTCAGTGGAATACTCATTTTACATCGGTAATCGATAAAATAAATAAACTAATAAGGACAATCAATAAAAGGACTACCCATCCTATGGACGGAACTGAGTGGCTTGATCTGAATCCGTAATAATGCCGAACGTCTCATCTGTGAAGTTTTAAGAAATTTTTGAAAGTCAGTCCAGGATAAAATGTCAATGCACCCTTTGAATGGTCCTGAAAATGTTCGTTCTTGGTGCACTTTTTCACGCACGTTTCGGCGGGGCTATTCATATAGCTTTTGTTTGACCAGAGTAGTAAAATTAGATCTTGGTAAAGTTGACCTTTTAGGAGAGAGACCACAATTTTGACCACGACTCGAGTTTGGACTTATTTGGTGTTAACGTCTTTTACGGTGTTGTGTGACTTCGTCTTATCCCTGGTAGCTTGCCTAACATTCAACATCAGTTATAGTTGGATGATACCTTGAAGCGAAGCTTTTAGTTACTAGGTAATATGTCGGAATATGGGTAACTGGGGTGGGCCAGCGTAACGGAATAGGTGGACGCCTGTCTTATCTAGCGTGAACTGCTTGCAAGTTAATCCTCTCTGTGAATCACCAAGCTTCTGCCGTGGTGCCCTGCGTGTACTGACACTGTAATTCTAAACGGTGAGATGACAGCCACCCACGACAAGACACCGGAGTTTTACATCGATTTAAACAAAATGGCCAAGCTGAGCAAAACTTTCAACTACCCATGTTGCAGGGAATGGATGTTCAAAAAACAGTGAGGAGGCATCCGATACTAGAAAGCCGACAGATATTCGGTTAGAGTACTCGATCTTCATCTGTTCAATTGGGAAGCGGAGATGGGCCAGTAGCCTAGTTACGCAAGACCAGCTTGGCTATGGTTACTGCGCCTGGAAACACAGAAGACATTGATGCAAACTAGCGGTTAGCTTTGGAATTAAAACCTCAACTTGACTGACCCAGAGTGTTCAGTTTTTTCTATCTGTTCCAGTTTGTGCTGCGACTCGCGGGGCGAAAACAGACTAAAGCCTCAGACTTTTTATTGTGTTTCTCTAAGAAAGGCACTTGCCAGGTGCCTTGATAAGACACAATCTCAACGGAGAAACTGCTGTGAGGCGACTTTTGAGAAACCCCACATTCAGTCGGGAATGAAAGTTTGACTGAAGCACGTGGCGAGCGTGATGTTGTGTAGTTCAAGCCTCGTAACTCAAAGTTAGATATCAGCGCGCCTGACAAGGGATAAAACAGAATAAGCTACCAAGAGTGCGCTCAATTTGTCTTTAAAGTACGAAGGAGTTCATGCCTACAAGTTCTAAACCTTGTGTAATTGTTTGGTCAGGGCCGCTCGTACTTTGACGCTGCCAGGCGGTTTCATATTGGCTTATGGAAGCTCTGAAATTTAAATCGAGAATTTGTCCTGAAAAGGTAGCCAGTTCATGCTGGAAATCCCAGGTGCAGTTTTATCCTTGTTTGCAAGCAGCAGCAGTGTACAAAAAAATCTCTCGGGAGGTTTCACCCTTAACTTCCTGGCTAATGGTTGAAGGCCATACTCTTCGGTAACGAACGATTGAGCGACAGTGGTAGGGTTAACAGGATATAGCGATACTCACTCTCCAGTCACGTGAATCGCCTTAATCAGTCACCGCTGACCTTTTCCTCTATTAAAATGTCCAAACTTCATCATCACTGTCAAACTGTAAGTAGTCAGCTCAGAAAAGAAGATGTCTCACATGCTGCATAGGCCCTTCATCTAAGAAGCCGTCACTTGATGAGGCCAGCTGATGGGAGCTGAGTGGCTGAAAGACTGATTGCGTCATACCCTCTGTATGTCCGAATTTTTCAAAACAAATGTTGATGAGGTTAAAAGGTCGTCTCTACACTTCTACTCTGTGATTGTAAAAATTGGTTTCTGCTACCTGAAGACTTCAAACAACTCTGGGTAGTTGACAACTGATGTATGTATTGGATAGCGGGGATCGACTGGCTTCATGGATGTAATAAAGCGATTTGTGAGCGAGTCTGATTCACTCGAGCAGCAGCTAACGCTTGTCAGTTGGAGGGGGTGCGTGTTACGAATTTCCGCCCCTGGGAAAACAATGTTTTTCGATGACATCTTAGTTTGAGAAGGGTTCATAAGGGATACACCACGACTTGGCAACGCGAAATGAAAGCAGCCAATTAAACTTTGTGCCGTGGAAGGTGCTTAGGTGAGGTACATGTGATTCTCTTGCGAGCAGTCGAAAGCCCTGCCGGAAATTACACGCAACCGCTCCAAATAGCGAATTGACTGTCATTTACTAGCCGCACTGTCTAGCTCACACGACCTTCCGAATTTAATGACTTCAATCACAGGATGAAATTCCGATTATAAAATGCTGAACGGTGTCGATTATCCCGTCGTTCCTGGTACGTTTAATCAATTTGTACTTATCAGAAATCCTCTCACGTGATCATGCGTTACGGTTAGCTTCCCTTACAAGTTGTAAGAATATACGGTCGAAGAGATTCGTGACCACTGTTTGACAAACCAGTGGGTCCTAGAAAGCGGGTAGGACCTGAGGAGCTGATGAATTCGAAAGTGTCAAGATGAACATCGTATCAACAGTTATGTATTTTTACAGTAGACCGTTCAACAAGATACAAACAGCTCCTACCTCAGATTCATAGGGAGGAACGCTTTGTATTCGATTCCGACACACAAATCACTCATTTTAGTGATGAATCCAGTCAGGCGAAGAATCGACTTTTGGTTTTCGACATCAAACGTGAACACATTTTGACTATTCTGTATTCGAATACTGCCCTGCTAAGTCATGGTCTCAAATGTATCAGTCTAAACCGCATAATAATCGGGTCAAAGTTTCGAATTATCTCACGAATTGGTTCTGATATTCCCCGAAGATTGCAGTTTAAATCTGTAAGCTGTTCGCTTTGTTAAGGTCAAATCGAGCATCTTGTGAAGTGGTCAAGTGGGACATTCCACAAGAGCGAATTTCATACTTACACATCTCAGCAACTGTGTGAATTTCTTATCAGTATTGTGCGATTCACACAGCTGTGTCAGCTGAACTTTGCTTGCCCGTATTCAGCTACCTTAGACCCATTTTATTCATGCATGAACGTAACAAATGCTCATTCATCATATTAATTATACTTTCTATTTCAGTTCCAAGTTCCATACTAGAACGTATCCAAGTACACATCACAAGTTCATGCGACCGCCCAATCGGGGTTGACAAAAACCGTCGAGACCAACTACTGCTCTTCCTCAGTATGTTGCGTTTGATACTGCAGGCTATTCGATACCAGGACCCTTTATGGCTCCGAGACTACTTCCACTCTACCCTTACCATTCCACCGAATCAGCTTGAACCTCTGATATACAGCATGAGTCTCGCCGCATGCGAAGCTACTCTACGACCGTCCGCGCTGTGAATGACCGTTACGACATCTTGCGCGCCAAAAAACACGTCCGCACAAACCCCGCACACTGCCTATCTCTACTACCTCAGCCTTCTTTTCATGTACAGTTTGCATCAAGATGTCCATACACTGACAATTCTTTGAAACATCCCGATTGCAAAACACAGTTAGAGCTTTTCGTTTGATCTCCACATGGCAACAAGTATTCCGACCACCTATCCAGAGATATTTAATTCCTCAGAACCCCACCCCTATACCACTAGACAGACTTTCTGCTTATAATGCAAACACATAGTGCAAAACACAGCAGTTCGCAAATGACAATCCGTATAACACTGTTCAATCGCTCGTGTTGCAAAAAGCATTGTAAAAATGAAATATTCTTTCTTGTTCTTGAGGGTTGATGGTTGCGTTCCATTACTGTAAAGTTGACCGGAAAGGATGCAGATTGGTCACTTCTTGTGGCTACCTTATGAAGAAGTAATGAGGAAACTTTGCAGCTTTTTTGGTTGGTTTTACGCCGTGAGACAGAATTTAGCTCATTCTGAAAACTTTGGAAAGCTGTTTGGGACTTGTGGCTACTGCTCGGATGAATCTCTGGGCAAGGGGGTTGGGAACTTGAGTTCAGGTTCAGGTATCAGGTAACCAGTACGGTTGGGTCCATCCCAGTAATTCGGCTTGCTGTTGAACTGTTTTGCAGTTCAGCATACCTCAGATTGTGGCCTTGAGATGAGTAATTATCTTTTCTGAGTAGTTGCGAGATTTGTGCAATTTTTATCTGCCCCACTACCCTTTGAAAAGTCTTCCTCCTGTTCCGGTGTAGCGATTCTTGTCAGTCTATGCAAATGGGTGGGAGAAAATTCTTTTTACAAAAATCTCAACTGCCCACAACCATTCAAAGTGTGAGGACAGATCACTCGCATTGGAGACCTTAGCGAAAAGAGGGGAGCAAGTCACTCGATCGATGGCTGTTGGGTCGACCGCTCAAGCCGTTGCGTATCGCGCCAAACATTTTAGCCTGTTTAAACACGATAACTCTGGCATTTGTGACATGCCCTCGTCCAGCAGTGGTAACAGGCATGCGTCGCATGTCAGATATCGAGGATTCACGTTCGCAAGTGTTGGTGACAGCCAAATTGGGGCCCAGTGTTTCCAAGAGTTTAGCTGCAAGCACGATTTTGGAACAAATGGGAACACTTCAGGCAAGAAGGATGCTTTGGGATATACTGCAGCGGTGAAGACTTTCTTAGCGTTCAGTGTATCGTTTTAAGTGTTAAGAAGTTTGAAATCAAAGCCGAAGTGATCGAGCGACTTACTTACCGTCGTATGCTTGAAATGCAAAGAGTTACAGGTAAAGCCTCAATCGAATTCCACTGAGAAATTAAGATCCTGCGCTCAAACTTTGATGATCAGGCGAGAACACCGTAGAACTTCCTCAGGGCACGAGATAGCGCGAATTCCGGTCAGCTCAAAAGTTCAGCAGCCACCTGCACACTCCACAAACAGGCTTTGAAAAGAACGGTTTAAATTTCACACTGATTTACAGATTTAGTTCCAATTTAGCATAGTTAACTGATTAATTCATCTGCGGAAATCGGGTTCGAAGCAGGCGTACCACGAGGATTACGACAGCTCGAAGAGTTCCAGGAAACGCACCTTGGATTGAGGCAAATGAAACCGAAGCAATTTCACAAAGAAACGAGATGTTTGACCTGGCCAAGAGGGTAACTCTTTTAAAGAAATGAAAACAAATTCTCCGAACTTTCTGGTGACAGGATAAACTGAAATGTATTAATGCAACCTTGTCCAAAGAGGTTTCAGGGGGTGCTAAATACAACCAGGTCTAATGAAAAACTTGAAACCAGTCCATTTATGGAATGCAGAAAGGCGAGGATTCTTTCATGCTTAATCGATCTTCGTTTTGGCCCGACTAACGTCATTTCGAAGTTCATTTCAGCAGGAATTACCGTTGAAATAAGTGANTTTCGATCGATTGTTGGTGGAAGATAACACATCCTCAAGAATAGTGGTTTTCTATAACCTGACGACTCGAACAGTGTGGGTGACCTTCGTCCGGGGCAAAACAGATAGAAGAAATTAATGGTGAACTGCGTTGAGTCAAAGTCGAATCTGGGCGACTTGAAGCCATCTGTCAGTCACTTAGTTACTTACTTATTACTTTACTTACTTACTTACTTACTTACTTACTTACTTACTTACTTACTTACTTACTTACTTACTTACTTACTTACTTACTTACTACTTACTTACTTACTTACTTACTTAATTGAAGACCCTGACCGATTAGCCGAAAAGAACTGACCGTTGTTTCGACTGATTCAAGCCTGTGAATTGCGGAATTTTTCTCACAGAAACGCTCCTTCTGCCCCGCCAAGCCTTTGTGAAGTAGCTGCAATCGGCCAAATTAAACGAAGTTGTTTGGCCATGAATGCGTACTGGTGGATGCCTCAGTTTTACTGTATTTTCCGGAATTTCTAGGAATTTCGAAAATTCTGTTCGGAAATTTCCAAATCTCTGTTTCTTGGCACCATTCCAAACAAATGCACTCAGAGTACCTGAATGGTTGTTCCAGTGTGTGGAATTTGAGTTCATTTGATAATCTATCACGCTGAGGCATGCTGAAATAATCCGGAGTCAGAGTGTCACTTGGGATGGCTTCCGTGTTGGTTCACCTGCGATAACCTTCCCTTTTCACGAACTCCCAATTCTAGAATGTTTTTTGTATGCCTCATGTGTTCTGATTCACTGATAATATTCCGGTATCTCAAGACAGTCTTCTTGTATATAAGACCATTCGGGACCGTACTTTCACAAGCTTGCTTCGTATATGCATATCTGTCCAAATAACTACCACTGGAAAAAATAAACAGCAATATATAATTCCAACCTCGTGTAACACACCGTATTCAGCTAGTCGTCCATCCATGTGCCGAAGGACACGTTAGTCTTCAGAAAATCTACATAGGTCGTCAAACAGTGGCATGCCCGTGGGAGTGGTTTGGTCGACCATAAGAAGCGGCACGGCGAGTGTCCAGTACATCTGGTTTGTTACACTTTACAACGTGTACAATGAAGTTGTGATCAATCCTGGATTCCAGTCTAACTTGTACTTTAATGGGTCCCTCCATCCTTACCTACTGAGTACTTTCACACGATGTTGCCCGGCCGTACTACTAAGCAAAATCAAACGTCTCGGAGCAGCGAGACCACGTGAGCACGAGGAATATATCAATATGGGCCAACTGTACTACTGAGGTGAATCAATGTGTCCAAATGGACTGCACAAGCAGTTGCGCCTACAGTGTGTTAGGCATTTGGTCGAGAAATCTGGCCGTCAGTTTGTAATAGCTCGGCTGGCCTGACAACAAGGTAACTGAATTTTAGTTCAAGAGACAATCTTGCCAACTCACGTGCATATCAGCTGACTGTTTTGACAGTTGGTTTACTCAGTGCACCATCAATGCAAACGCGAGTGACGTTTTCTGTGAAGCTTGCTGATCTATATCTCCCTTCAGCTGTGAAACGTGTTCACTGCAGTTCGGATATGTAGGCAATATATTGACTCAGTAAGACAGAACCAAACGAACGCTTGTGTGGACGTAATACACTACTCATAAGGTTGCTGAAAACTCCTTTAGTCGGCTGTCGAAGAGTTTTCAACAAATTTGTGAGCAGTGTACTATGCCTATACAAAGTATTACAGTTTCTCAAATATCATATCAACTGAAACATGCGGCGGCCTGATGCCGTGTATTCAGCTGGAGACGAAGAACACCACGAATGGGAGATGCAACTGGCTTCAAGATGAGTCACCGATCAAGGCCAAATTTTTATGCAAATGAGTGTAGTTCGTCAGTTTCGTGCAATTTGGGTTCAAGCAAAATATAAGATTAGCGGACACTCGGAGACCGCACCTACCTGATGGTCCTACCAAGAAGGACGGTCTTGGGCTGTTAACGTGTTTTCAGCAACTTCATGAGTAGTCTGTTACACATGTTACACATGGTAATTTAGAACCGAAATGGTTGTACAAGAGCCTCGCATCGTTCAGGATATCCGAGATATCGAAGTACATTTCACTGACTACTCATCAGTTTGTTTGAGACTTCGGAAATCAATAAAATACGATTGTCTGATGAGACGAAGGTAGTTTAAGAACCGTTAACGGACTGTTCAAGTTTTCCCAGTAGGATGTTACTTCATGGAAACGTCTTTCGACATGCCGCCAGAAGACCCCTGTGCAGCACTTTAATCAAACGAGGGGTTCGACTGACATTCAATCAAGTCCTCGCATGACCCCAAGTCAGGTTGCAGAGAAGAGTACTACTCTGCTTCTGGTTTGTTCACATTCAGTCTGTAGAAGATATGAGAAGCGTTTCGGCTGTTCACTTGGCCGCCGAACTGTTCTCTGAGCTCGGCAGTTGGCTTGTGAACGTCATCATCAACGAACACGGATGATGTAGGATGATTGCTAACCGAGGAGAGCAAATCATCGTTCACTAATGAAAGCATTCGAGTAATGGACATTTCGGAAAATTTTTACTCGATCACAAGGAAGGCAGACGAAAACAGTGTGCGCATGTGAGGGAGAGGGAGAATTCGATCATGAGAGTACCCGAAGTCTGTTGCCAACAGAGCGACCTTAAGGAAGTTAATTTTGTTCCGATCAGCACTATCCACAAGGGGAAGATAACACTCAGGCAGCCTGGAACGACGGTCAACGCCGATCCTGTTTTCAGCCAACAGTTTTGTTGGTTCGCAAAGTGAAACCAATTTCAACAACTTATTTCAAGTTGAACGCTACCTCTGTCTCTCCAAAATACAGGATTAGTCGACTGGATTCGAATCCCGTCGAGGAACTGCAGGATATCACTGTGAGTCTGATGTGGGAAGGAAGCTACTTTCGATAAACACTTATCATACTATTGGCTACTTTGTACAAGAAAAGCATTCTTTAAAAAATGATAATTTACGATTTCACTTGGTAAAAC